CAGCTTGATTCACTCAGAGAAAACTGCCTGCAGTGGTACCAGAAAGCACACTTCCATGGCAAGATGATGATACCCTTCAACGGAATTCAGCAGCATCAAGTATATGCAAGTGTAATCTATGCTCATGGGGCTTTAAGTATGGTGAAGCTGGAATCTCTAGCATGATGCTTGACTTTGATGTTTACCAAGGAGCAACAATGATGTACGAGTCAAATCTAAACTTGGATTGTCAGGTGATGTTTAATGAAGCTTGCCTCCCATTTCCAAAGGGTCAACACAAGAAGATCTAGGCAGACAACTACTTCACCTCCGTTCCACTGGTAGTGAAGCTCCTTGAGCAAGGAATCCATTATGTGGGAACAGCCAGGCAAGTGCATCTCCCCAACTGTAATCTTTACATGTGAAGAGCTTGAAGAAGAAGGGCAGAGGAAGCTTTGACCACAGAGTGGAGGGGAAACAACATCTGTGCTGTCAAATGGTACGACAACAGGGCGGTGACACTTCGCTGGACCAGAACCTGTTCAGGAGATTCAACACTGGGACAAAGCCGCCAAAACCTACATTGACGTAGAAAGGCTTCCATTGTGGCATCTACAATAAATACATGGGAGGTGTGGATTTGTTGGACTCATTTACAGCAAAACACAAGTCACTGAAATCCTGGTGGTGGTACATGTCATCTTCTGGCACACAATCACCCTTGCTGTGGTCAACGCCTGGCTCCTCTACAAGCAGCACAGCCTATGCTCTCATGCCAAAGGAGATACTGAATATGAGAAAGTTCCAAGCACAGCTGGCTTCCTCTCTCATTACGGTAATGATCTATTTGTGCTATTTACCTTGTTTGTGATAAATCAGACTGGAATTTGAGATGTACATAAATTGATACATTTATATTCTAATCTGGCGGACACAACACTGAAAACGCCAAAGAGAGGACGGCCATCTTCAATCAACAAGAGCCCGAGACAGGAGCCCTCTGAATAGTGGAAAGAGCCACACATGGATGATGGAAGTCCAAAGGCTCCCTCTTCTAAAAGTCACGCAAACCACCGCCATGGATGCGCGCATGGACCAAACTGGACGTTTCCCCCTGAAGACAAAGAGGACACTGCAGACATTGCAGTAAAGGGTACACCAATACCCAATGCAGTAAGTGTGATGTCCGCCTCTGTTTTTCAGAGGACAGGAACTGTTTCTGGGATTACCACTATAAGTAGTGGACTTCACACTGAGCACATAATAGATTTCAGTGGAGAGCGAAGAACACTGCAGACATTGCACTGTTAACAATGTAAATAAATAAAGATCTTATTTTTGGAATAAACAACTCTTCATAATAACATGACTGAGATTATATTCATTTTATACACTGGTTTGGTAAAAACAAAAACACTGCAAATTAATCCTTAATTATGCAGCTTGATGGGCACCTCTTCGGACCTGACGTGCTGCCCAGCTACGCAAACGCAGCTACGTGGATGTACTCTCTTGTAATTGGCCAGAGTGATCACAAGTCTCCGGATGTTTTGGTCTCGTTGCTGAAGAGTGCATGAAGCGGTGGAAAAACCCCTGTGCTGCCAGCTTCTCCAAGCCCCGTGCTCCCTCTTTTGCCAAAACCATGAGAACGACCGACAACTGGCTGAAGGAAGAGCTGCAACGGTGAACGAAAGGCAGAAAGCAACGGAGGAGTGCCTGCTCAGATGCATTCCGTTTAGTATTGCTTTTTAACTTTATTTATAGTTAACGGTTTTGATTGCATTCTTTTTTCTTTGTGTGTTGCTGACGGCATTACATTATAATTCTGGAAAAGAAACTGCAACAGGATGCTTTTACCCTACACTCGAGTATAAACACCACTCTCTCACTTAAAGCAATTTTATTCTTTTTTGCATTTCACAAAATAATAATAATAAACAAAATAATGATAATATTTTCTATTTATAAGGCACTTTTAAAAGGTCATTTAATAAAGTCAGCTGCATGTGGAGGCTTAATGAGACTTGGATGAAGGAACACTACAGTTAGGAGGTATTTAAGGTGATTATAGGTTGTTCGAGTTTTTCAACTGGTCACTGTACACCTCCGTTGTTGGAGGAAATGCAAGCATTTTTCCTGAGTAAGTCCATAAAGTGTTAAAGATTTTTTTTTTTTTAAAATACAACAGACTTCTTATTGATATAAAGGTGATAATGCCAGTCTTTCCCCAACCCTACAACCTGCGACAATGCAGGCTCACAAGGTCTGTTCCTGCAACAGCTTCTTTCAAGTCACTGTCAGGCTTGTGGCACCGGACAGTAAGGAGGGACAGACATATTTCAAGTGTTGAGTCAAGGAAGCAAAGTAAAAGCCCTAAAAATAAATGAGCAGCTCTGGCCCAAAAGAGAGTGCAAGCCCCAAAGCTTACCTCTCTTTTTTGCAGACACACTCCGGTTTTGGACTTGTGATGGGAGGGACATTCTTGCAGGGATGACATGCTGACCTCATCTTCTGACCCCTCTTCTCTTGGCATACTGACATCTGGACAAAGAAATAACTTTATTGTAGTATACACTACATGAAATATGTAATAGCCGTCAGTGCAGTGGTTGTGTTATTTTAAAATAATTTAGTATATTCAATTCAATTTTCTATTCAGTTTATTTATATAGCGCTGATTCACAACAGATGTCGTCTCAAGGCACTTAATAAGAAGTCAGTATATGGGATTTGTGTCTCTTAAAGAGAGACAGTTTATTTCATCCCGTCTCCTATAGTCCTAAATTCTTTTCAAGTGACGTGAAAATATTAGTTGTCATGTTAGCCCAGGGATGGGCAACTCCAGTCCTCAAGGCCACTATTCTGCAGGTCTGAAATGTTTCCCTGCTTCAACACACCTGATTCAAATTAAATAGATCAAACAGCTTGTTGCCAAGCTCTGCACAATGAATCAGGTGTGTTGCAGCAGGGAAACATCTAAACCTAAAGGATAGTGGCCCTCAAGCAGTATATTTCCTCATATAGTGTATGGACGACAGACCGTCCCACGCAGTCCACTAGTGCTGAAGTAGCTGTGCGCCGAAAAGATTGTATGTACAATATGATGAACTGATTTCATCAGACAGAAAGCGACTGTTGTTATATTACAAGTAGAATTAACGACAAGGCTGTATGAGTTTATTAGATGTCATCTAACCCGATGGCATATGCGTTTGAGCCAGTGATGAGGAGGAGGGTTGAGAGACCCGTTTTTGGTTGAGGGAGCTGCAGCGGCTCCGGACGGAGATGACAGTGAGGAAGGGTCGGCAACCCTTTGCAGTGCAAGTGCGGTCACTGCGATCAACCGTGGAGTCTGTTTGCTGCCATGAAGCAGACTTGGATAATGTGCTCAGGGAATTGTCCTGCATCACCTAATCGCGCACATTCCAGATGTTCTGTAGTGACAGGGACGTGTTGGAGTAGCTGTGCTATCCCTGTATGAAGTCTGTGCCGAGAGATTAGAGCAACCTATAAGCAATAGGTGGGTTCCCGCTAACCTCAAAGTTAATGCTACTTGTAATTTCAGGCAGTACTGACGCAGTGTTAAGTTTTAAAACTGGGGTTGTGTTTGACTGATTGTGCAGCCTCTGCATCATACAGGTCTCCTGACAGAGTTGCAGGAGAAAGAGGTGGGTGGGACAAAGAAGGGAGGTGGAGTTGTTGATGTTGAAATTTTTGCCACGTGCTGTGTGAAATGCACGAAAGGTAAGAATTGCGTTCAAGCTCACCGGTTGCAGACACTCCCCGGTTTTGACTTTGTGATGTGGAGGTACATTCTTGCGTGGATGACATGCTGACCTCATCGTCTGACCCATCATCTCTTAGCATACTGACATCTGGAGAGGGAAATAACTTAATACAATACACAAAATATCTAAAACGGATCATTTAAAAATCAATTTAGGAACATCGTATACACATACCTTCAATGTCCTCTGCTAAAGGTCCCTCCAAATGGTCTCTAAAATGGTAATTGATAAAAAATTGAGTTTGGCAATGCAAAGCTAGCAAACTATGCCCTTTTTACATGGTAAATAGTTGTTTTCGGAATGCGGAAGACTAAATGTCATATATTGTGCCTTCAAGAATATAAAGTTAATTACCATTCACATCGACTTGTATTTCATCGAGGCTCTTTCCTTTGTAATCTCCTAGGCGTCCTTGTTCCATTGCCAGGAGGACTTTACTTACTTTGGCTAATTGGAGGGTGCTTTCTGGGCCTGTAGTGTTTCCTGTGAACAGCGATATTATGACCAAGGAAGTCTGCCAACTGGTCGAGCTCAGTGGTTTTGAGGTTCAGAACAGTAGACAGGGTAGCAATATGTTTCCTCAGTTGAATTGATGTTAGCGCTTGAGGATTTTTTATGTCAGCACATTCACTGACAAATTGCCTAATGCAGTCACAAGCCCTGAGGTAATGGGCAGATTGTGGCAATGCAAACAGATATTCATTGTCCTTTAGCACCCCACATTCTTCTCTGCTCTCAGTAAGAGCATCAAGTGATTCTCTCATTAATGGGGTTAGAAGAACAGGAACCTTCCTTCCTCTTTTTCCAACAATTGCTATTCGCACAAAATGCCTGCAGAGCTTCTGCTCAAGCGCTGTGAGGGCCAAATTTACATCTCCCTGTTCCTCTGATGTGTCCTTCGATAAGTATGCAGACAGGCGCATTCGGGACACTTCACCTGCTCTCCGCTCGCCGATTAAAAGCATAACTTGAGTCAGTGTTACTTTTGCAAGTTCCTTCCAATTTGTGGATGAATGATGTTCTTTTAAATCTTTGAGATGTTGCTGCTGTTTTTCTTCTAGATAGCAATGTAGCCTTTGGATATCTTGTGTAAGAGGTAAAAGTTGCGGTGCATTCCATTTGGCCCGGTTAAGCTGGGTTAATGCCTGGCCTGCAATATCAAACCTCCAACTCTCTAAATACAACTGTGCGAACTCCTCAGCATCTTTTATGGTTTCTTTATCTTTCTTTTTCAGTCCTTCGGACTTGATAAACATAGCCAACGAATGCAGGCTGTGTCCTACCTTGCGTGCAAGAGAGGGACATTGGTATATGCCACTTTCCTCACTGAATCCAGATAGGTTCTTTGCAGCTCTGACAACCTGGGAGTACTGTTCAGGTTTGATGAGTTCTTGAATGGTCTTCACATGTGTGATTTTTTTAGCTTCCAATAAAAGCCTGCCAAGTTCTCTCAGTTTTTGGCGTATACTGGTGTTGACTCACTATCTTCTCATTCTTTTTGAACAACCTGAACCCATAATTGAGGATGCAGTTGTCTCCTTTAATTGCAACTGCAATCTTGTCCTGACTCATTCACTCAAGAACTTCCAATACGCGTCTGTATATTCCGATGGAGAAGGTTCAGCGAAAGCACACAATGCCTGAACTCTATTTTTACCTGGTTTAGTACTTTCGGGTTTGAAGCTGCAGACCTTGAAATGCCGCCACATTGCTCTTCTTGAGAACAACCCATAGCAGTGAATGCAATGTGCAATTTATGTCCCTCTGATTTTTTTCCCGGTTGTTTACATGGGATTAGTTTTCCTTTTTGTGTTTCCAAAACATGACTGTTGTGCTCAAAGTTTCCCTTATTTCGTATGTAGTCCAATTGTAGTTTTCTTTCCTTTGAGTTTTTGGAAAACTGAATGCTTTCGCAACATCCGATTCATCTTGGTGTTTACGCCACAAGTGTCTTGACATTTTCTGGACAAACTTCCTGCAATAAAAACAGAAATGTTTCTTGTTATAGCTTCTGGATCCATCATCTTTCTTTAAAGTTGGACTGACAATGATATACTGCTCTTCTTCCAGGGGCACTGAAACATTGTTTTCAGAATATGTTGCGATTTCCTTTTCATTCCCATCAACTCTGCTATTTGGAAATCTTCGTGCGGGATCATGACATCTTTCCAAAAGTCTTCTCTGGCTAAAGTCAAATTGGCTATGACTAGAGGATTCACTTCTACTCTCCCTGGGCTTAGACTTGCTCTGTCTGGAGGACTCGCTTCCACTCTCTCTGGAGGATCTACTTCCACTCTCCCTGGGCTTAGACTTGCTCTGACTGGAGGACTCGCTTCCACTCTCTCTGGAGGATCTACTTCCACTCTCCCTGGGCTTAGACTTGCTCTGACTGGAGGACTCGCTTCCACTCTCTCTGGAGGATCTACTTCCACTCTCCCTGAGCTTAGACTTGCTCTGACTGGAGGACTCGCTTCCACTTCCACTCTCCCTGGGCTTAGACTTGCTCTGACCGGAGGACTCGCTTCCACTCTCTCTGGAGGATCTACTTCCACTCTCCCTGGCTTAGACTTGCTCTGACCGGAGGACTCGCTTCCACTCTCTCTGGAGGATCTACTTCCACTCTCCTGGGCTTAGACTTGCTCTGACCGGAGGACTCGCTTCCACTCTCTCTGGAGGATCTACTTCCACTCTCCCTGGGCTTAGACTTGCTCTGTCTGGAGGACTCGCTTCCACTTCCACTCTCCCTGGGCTTAGACTTGCTCTGACCGGAGGACTCGCTTCCACTCTCTCTGGAGGATCTACTTCCACTCTCCCTGGGCTTAGACTTGCTCTGTCTGGAGGACTCGCTTCCACTTCCACTCTCCCTGGGCTTAGACTTGCTCTGACCGGAGAACTCGCTTCCACTCTCTCTGGAGGATCTACTTCCACTCTCCCTGGGCTTAGACTTGCTCTGACCGGAGGACTCGCTTCCACCTCTCTGGAGGATCTACTTCCACTCTCCCTGGGCTTAGACTTGCTCTGACCGGAGGACTCGCTTCCACTTCCACTCTCCCTGGGCTTAGACTTGCTCTGACCGGAGGACTCGCTTCCACTCTCTCTGGAGGATCTACTTCCACTCTCCCTGGGCTTAGACTTGCTCTGTCTGGAGGACTCGCTTCCACTTCCACTCTCCCTGGGCTTAGACTTGCTCTGACCGGAGGACTCGCTTCCACTCTCTCTGGAGGATCTACTTTCACTCTCCCTGGGCTTAGACTTGCTCTGTCTGGAGGACTCGCTTCCACTTCCACTCTCCCTGGGCTTAGACTTGCTCTGACCGGAGGACTTGCTTCCACTCTCTCTGGAGGATCTCGCTTCCACTCTCCCTGGGCTTAGACTTGCTCTGACCGGAGGACTCGCTTCCACTCTCTCTGGAGGATCTACTTCCACTCTCCCTGGCTTAGACTTGCTCTGACCGGAGGACTCGCTTCCACTCTCTCTGGAGGATCTACTTCCACTCTCCCTGGGCTTAGACTTGCTCTGACCGGAGGACTCGCTTCCACTCTCTCTGGAGGATCCACTTCCACTCTCCCTGGGCTTAGACTTGCTCTGACTGGAGGACTCGCTTCCACTCTCTCTGGAGGATCCACTTCTTCTCTCTCTGGGCTTAAACTTGCTCTGACTGGATGATGCACCTTTGTTCTTTTTTTCCTTTTCCAGGGTTAATTCCATACTGCTATCACTTTCTGTGCTTTCATCCATGGGATTTGGAATATACTCCTCTTCGCTACCTGAGTTTGAGTCATCCGATTCCATGAGATTTATCTGAATCTTTAAAAACAAACACACATCTGTTAATAACTATTTTTGCAACATTAAATAAAAAACCTGAGGATACTGATTGAACAGGCTCAGGATACTAAATGAAGAAAAATCTGTATGGACCATTTTCAGTACAAGTAAATTTACAAATTAGAAGAATCCCCATCAGACTCACTAGCAAGAGCAACAGACATTTTCACAATCGTAACCCCCCCCCCCCCCCCCCCCCCCCCCCCAAAAAAAAAACTTACGGGACGGCAAGACCTTCTTCTCAGTTTCTGTGAATCCCTTTCAGACTTAAAAGGAGTCTCCTCTGCGCTGTCACTACTTGAATCATAGAGACTGTGGGTAAAATCTTGTACTCTATCCATCTGCAAAAAGGGAGACATGGAGATATTTTGCTGTATGATTGCTGTATTTTTTTTATTGATAGGGAGACCATTCAGAGGTTGTCAGGTGAGCTAGACACCTATGAAAATTATTGACCAATATTACCCCTCCATCCACCTGCTGAGGCCCATGTCCAAACTGCCTTCCAGGTGGAGTAAACGTTGACAAAATTATTAAAAAAGAGTAACGTTTCAGTTTTCATGCATTTGATTGTTAAATTTAATGACTTCACAGCAAATGATTCATCATAATGATATAGTGTCATTCCTGTAGACATGGAACTACTCGAGAGAGGGAGAGATTAGTCAATAATTTAATCAGTCAGAAAAGAGAGAGTTGAGCTTCTCTAATAAATGATTACTGATTGATTGTTGGTGATCTCTATTTAATTGATAATTAATGCACCAGGCGAGAACGAGGACTCGACCGGATTTTGGCAACAGAGACCGGCCCTACCGGGGTTTGTCCCGGTATGCTGGCTGACCAGTAGCCTACATCACTGGGCACGTTGTATCTTTTTTTTTTTTTTTAAGCACACACCTGAGCGCTGATCACTGGACATCACTCCTGCAGGTGTTTATGCCAATCCAATAGATTCAATTTCAAATGAGTCCATTTAAATTCAGATTTTAAAAGCGATTGTTCAAAACAATCGATTCAGGTTCAAAGTAAATGATTCCCATTCAAATATAAAATTCAAATTAGCTTACTAGTGGCAAAATTTATCACATAAACAAGTTAATTATATTGTTACAATGTGTTTTGGGGCTTACCAGAATGCTTTTTGTGCGTCTCAGTGGTGGAACAAGTTCATCATCCGATTGATTGTTGGAATGGTTGCTTGGAGAAGCCTCATCACAAGTTTCTTTCACAACAGTTTCATCTGAATCGTACAAATGATCTGAAACATCTGGGCCAATATCATTCTGCCCTATAATAACATCCAGGTGTGGGGTGGGAGGTTTGTTTTCCATACCATCCTCATCAGTTTCATCACTATCTGGATAATCAACCAGTGAAAATCCTTGGACAGTAAATACCTAAAAATAAACAAATTCATTAAGTATGGAATTAGAAAGGTTGGCCAAAGAAACATGGCATGGTCTGACTAAAAATCTAAATCCAGAAATGTGAACATCAGCCCTTTTAGACAGTGTACAATTATAAATGTTAAAATCAGAGTACAGCTATACTATAGTATTACAATACTATCATATAGTTGCCTGAGGAAGACCATTTGGATCGAAACCTTTGTTTTTTAGTCAATAAAAAAGTTAACTGTGAGCTTTAACCCAGTATGCAGATTTTCTTCTTTTTCTTCCCCAGATGTTACCATAATGCATTAAAAGGTGCCCCACAAGAATGGGACTGGAAAGATGCCAGTGTGTGTTACATTACCTGGCCTTTACAACCCAATAAAGGTCACCTGACTACTTTAAAGCCCCGTGAGCATTGGTCCATGGTCCAATTGACCATTACAGGGGTTTTCAGTGCATCAAATCAAAATATTTAACATCAAAATTCAAATCAAAGAGATGCTTTAAAACATCTAACAGCTCAGACACAGTATACAATTACGAATGTTAAAATCACAGTTGAGGTCATGTCAGGTGTTGCCACAGTGCATTAAAAACAATTACAGTAAGAACTGGACGGAAGGGCCCCACATGGGTCAGACTACAGACATACGAGTGTGTAAAGGAGAGACTTGAGAAACAAATGTATTCGGAAGATGGAAGGACCCCATAAGAACATGACTGGAAACATGCCGGTGTGTGTGACATTACCTGGCCTTTAACAGCCAATATAAAGCCACATAAGCATTGGTCCACTTTAGTAATAGAACACCACCACATACATGTCAGCATAGATGAATGTGTTTGAATGTACTTTTACCTGTGTGCAGGTCTGATCTGGGTTAGGTCTATCATTCAGCATCTGAGGAACAGGGCTGGTCTCATTCTCTTCTGCTGCGGCTGGAGCTTGGTTTTTTTTCAACTGGATTTCAGATAAAGAAGAACTCATTTTAACACACATCACAGATCAAAGATTAAATGCATTTCCATAGACAGTCAAGAGTAATATTGGAAACATGGTTAATTTTGGAAAATACAAAATTTTCTTTTGCAACAAAAAAATTTAAAAAAAGAAATCTCTATACTTAATCTAACCAACTCACCTTACAGCGCCAAGGCCATTTTGAATCACCATAGTTGTAATCAATTTCATCTCCTATTTCTATTTTCTTCAGAGAAAAAAGGCACAAATGTGGTTTGTTGTCAACTATGATTTTTTTCATAACGCAATTTGGATTTTGGTGGTTGTCATTGACCAATCTTCCGAGAGATAAATCTTCTTCAGATGCATCCAGGCTGAAAAGTATCAAAAAAATGGTAATAGTTTTACATCTTTTTAAAAGTTTTATTGAAAGAGTTATTTTCAAAAGAATTTAAGAGTATTTTTGCTTAACTCATTCATCAAGTATTAAACCTTGTTTCAGGGTTAACTCGTAATTTCTCTAAATCAATACAAAACATCCATCTTTCAATGTTTACCATAAGTGATGATTCTGCCACTGAAAGTCAAAGAGAAATGTGCTTTCAATCTCTGAGTATTTTCTTGACTGCATTCCTCCTGTGTGAGGAGTTTACCCCTGTACTCCAACACGAAGTCCCCGTTTTCAATGGCAAACACTCCTCTTCCTACAATAATATAAATAATTAAACATTTCATTCTGGGACTCAAAAACAGATACTACAGTATTTTCAAAGTGAGGTTGATGTTCTTGCGTCTAGTCAGTGTATTACCTGCAGACAATGCTCAGCACTCTCCCAGTTGTGATACACACTATACAGGTAAAGTGCTTTTTTGATCAGACTTTGTGGCCAAAAAATGTTTTTGATGCAGACCCATCCACATCAATGCATCATTGAGGTCCTGTCTATGCTCTGTTTGGTTCCCTTAAAGGAGTCATGACCTGTAATTTTCACTTTTCCACGAGAATCAATAGCCGCGTTTCCACTGTCAGGCCAGTGCGAGCCAGGGCTTTAAACTGGGCCGAGACGGGCTAATGGCCTCGGGCCAGGAGCACCGGGCTCAAAACCAGCTGTTGCGTTTCCACTGTCTGGCCAGAAGCTCCACAGCGCTTCACTAAAACACGCTAGGGGTGAACTAGCACGGCCCGGCTCTGGCCCGACAGTGGAAACACGGCTATTGTATGTTATGATTGCCTAACGATTATACACTGGCCGGGAAGCCGATATTTAAAAGTGAAGCGTTTGTTTACCCCTGGGTTCGTCAACCAGCCCACGTGCACGCGCACTCAAATACAGATTTTAATTTCTGCCCCGATTGACGTCAAGACGGGGCAGGAAATACCATATATGGACACCGCAGACCTATGCTGCAGGAAGCCCGCCCTGCCCCTCTCCCCCTCATATTCAGTCGCGAAAGATGCAGAAACGTAGTGCACACGTGAGTTGCTCTGTTGTTGACTGCCAGAATCAACATGTAACTTAAATGTGTTTTCTCTCCCAAGAACGGACCAAGCTGTCAGGGACCAGTGGATTAAATTCATTTTTAATGACGCGGTTCCTACAACCCTTCCCACTGGCTTAACGTTAGGTGTCTGTGCTAATCATTTTACGCCGGAATCGTTCACAAATTTGAATGTCTAAAAAACCACAACGTGAAACAAGGCAAAAACACCACATGATAGCAAACGTTGATCTCAATAACAACTGTAAGCTGGTAAAAAAAAGTAGACTACATCTCCGTTAATGTAATCTACATTAAATAAAAGGTATAATGAATGTCTCAGTCAAAATGATTGTTTTTACCATTCAGAGACATCTTGATGTAGACGTCCTTCCATCGACTCTACATCTTCCCTTTCCAGCTCAGATTCAGAGTCTGGCTCATGCATGTACGGTTGAATTCCGTAGGTCGCGGCCAGGTCGGATTCATTCACAACTTGCGCCATGATGTCATTTTGGAATGATATGCTGAAGTTACCTGCGGTGTCAACCCCCCTCCTTCCTGCCACCAATCAACGCGCCCCTTTGCATTATTAAAATGACCATCCATGACAGCCAAAATATCACATCAGATCTCGCGAGACAATAATGCCTTCAGAAATAAGGGTCAGAGGAGCTCTCCACTTTTCTTTTTAGAAGGGCCTGAAAGGCTATAATAGAGCGTGGGTATCCAAGGTAATACTAAGTTATGACTCCTTTAAACTGAGAGTGCCGTGTACCATTTAGTGCAGGTAACACCAGTGAAGCGTAAGAACATCATGCAACTCAGACTTTTGACATAGACAGACAGATGTACTATACTGATCCAAAACTGGAAAAATACATTGTAGCCGCAGCAAGGCATGAAACTAAATATTAAATAGCAATATAAAAAACGGAAAGTATTCCTGATTTACAAAATAAATATAGGACACAGAAAAGCAATATAACAAACGTATATACAACAAATAGAGAGACTAGTTAAATAATGTATTGTGCAAATGAGCTTTAAAGACCCACTCCGATGATAATCATGTTTTTCGTGTTGTTAACATGTTCTTGTGGCATTTTTCTAAAGCTAGAGGACATATCTTTAGAAAATTAAGCTCAAAATTGCATTTTTGAGTATTTCTGCATTCAAATGGCTGTGAACCAATGGCAGTTACTAAAAGGCAGCCTAAAACAGACTGGAGTTGTGATGTAATAACTCTGGGGGGGCCACAAGCTCCTGCCCCACTCCGCTCAGGTTCTGAGGAGTAGAGAAGACAATGGCGGATCAACACCTGTGTGCTGTAGTGGGTTGCAGTGCTAAGAAGAGAGATATTGGTATTAGCTTTCATAATTTACCGCAGCGCTGGCTCCGCCCACAACGCAGAGGCTAATTGCTAATGAGCACAGCTGGGACACTCAAGCAGAAGATTACTAACTTTGTCAGGCGGGGAAATTATATTGCCAGATGCCTAGCATGCAACTTAGCCAAGTCTACCCAACGAACTAGCCATGACTGGTGGGGAGGATGAAGCTGCTGCCGGGAGCTTTGAATCTCAGGTGGCTATATGCATCGTTGTTGTACGGGGCTGTACATTGCTCCATGTACACTTGGTCACATAAATGTGTCGGATATAAATCCGATTTTCAACTCCCGCACTATATACTGATTTAATGGAGTTAAGATATGTGCTGCATTTTATTGATCGTCAGCTAAAATGTCAACATCAAAGAGAGAGTGGCAACAGCGCTGGTAAGATCATCTCGTTTAATTACTTTTGAAGATGATTGTGATTACTTTCACTTTGATTTGCGATAGTTTGCAAGTTGGCTTGATGAATAGATGCTCAGCTGCGCCGTGTTGCAGTAGCGTCATCATATCTAGCTATAACATGACGTATAGCCTATAATAAAACACCCTCACACGTTTATTTTTTTGCATTTTTGGGAGGAGTAACATTTACATATGTGGTTTCAACAACCAGATGCACATACACTTGTCCGATCACAGAAAACATATGAAGTGAAGTTTAAACAGCCCCCGAGTGGTGGTATGCCAGCAAGCTTTGCTTGGCATAATTTAAAATGGTTGGTCGCAGAGTAAACGGTCACGACAATACTCTTCTTCTGTTGTTTGTTTACACTATGCACAAAACACAGGTAGCCTAGATCGCGCAGTAGGGTGTTTCATTCATGTTAGCTGACGACACCTTGTGTCCCCGACAGGAAAATACCCAGCTGCGTGTTCTGTGAATGTAGGTGCGGTGTCAATTTAGAACACATAGGAATTGCGCGAAAATATAACGATATTCGAAAATGAATTTCGCACGCAGTTCCGACTATTCGAAGATCGCGACTCATCCCTAACATCAACAATAATACTTTTTTGCTTTTGAAATGCACAAGTTGTGTCAAGGAATCTTCTGCAACTTACCTTTGTAACGGTCAATGAATCTCGGCATAAACCCATCCTTGTCAGTGCAAGACAGAATGTATGTCTTTGCATCGTCTATAGGCTTTTTCCTCCTCCTCCTTGTGGACATAATGGCTCTGTGAAAATAATTGTAATTCGTACTTAGTCAAGGCAAATCTCACAAAAAGGTTTTTGAAAAATAGCAAGTCACAAAAAAAATCTATTATATAAATAAATAAATAAATAAACAGACATTCATACAAACACATAGACGCTGCAACAGCTGTGTACTGAGCTTTGCTATTGCAAGATGCACATTGTTTAACATCAAACACGGGCTAATGAAATATGCAAATTCTGAAATGAGCACACTGAAAGCTGAAAGTTAACTTGTTAGATGATAACCATGTTGTGCTGCACAGACACTCCGTAATCAATTTAAACTAGGGATGTCAAACTTAACTTCTGGTACAGCAGCATGGCGGCGTTGCCACATGACCATTGACTGACATATGCAGCATCACATCCTTCCTCATACATAAGCGCATGGATGGTTATGGGGGGGTCCAGGGTAGGCCGGTACCACCAGGACAAAAGCTTGGTGAAAACTTCCCTTAGAAGTATCTGCTTGTCGTCACTAAATATTACTGCTCCTCTAAAGGTTAGGCCTACGTCTAAAGCTAGTAAGCAACCCTGGATAAATGACAGCATTTGCAGCCTAAAAAGGGAATGCAGGAAAGCAGAGCGCAGATGCAAAAAATCCAGTCTCCAAGTCCATTACCTCAGTCTGAAGGATTTATTAATTAACTACAATAACATGGTTAAGGATGCGAGAACACACTATTTTTCTGAACTCATTACTACACATAAACACAATCCCAGGTTTCTGTTTAAGACTGTGGATCAGCTGGTAAACCCAACCCCTCCTTGTGCCTCAGCTGGAAGTAATGATGACTGTGAATTGTTTTTATCTTATTTTACCAATAAGGTGGTGTCAATCAGAGCCTCTATTACCCCCGTGGCCTCTTACTCAGAGGTCCCTCACCAGCAACAACAGAGTTTTAACCAGTTTTATCCCATCGACTTGTCTGAGCTTTTAAAAACAGTATCACAAATGAGAGTGTCCTCCAGCCCACTTGATGTAATACCTACAAAATTTTTACTAAAAGTAATAGATTCTGTTGGGCCCCATTTGATCTCTGTTTTCAACAGCTCCCTATCTGCTGGTTGTGTCCCTGATTATTTTAAAACGGCTTGCGTGAACCCACTTTTAAAGAAACCTGGTTTAGATCCCTCCCTCCCACATAATTTTAGACCAATTTCAAAACTGCCTTTTATTGCAAAGATTCTAGAAAGAATTGTGTCCAAACAGCTGCTCACTGTGCTGGAAAATAACAAAATATTTGAAAAGTTTCAGTCTGGTTTTAGGAAGTACCACAGCACTGAGACTGCCCTGCTTAAAGTCACCAATGACCTTTTAATGTCTGCTGATGAAGGTATGTGCTCAGTCCTGGTACTCCTGGACCTTAGCGCTGCTTTTGACACCATTGATCACAACATCATGTTAGACAGACTGAGGCACTGGGTGGGGATCTCTGGTACTGCCCTAGAATGGTTTTCATCCTACCTGTCAAATAGGAAGTTTTGCGTGTCTGTAAACAACTATGTCTCCTCGTTCTGTCCAGTTAAATATGGTGTGCCTCAGGGGTCGGTCTTAGGACCCATTTTGTTTTCCTTGGACATATTATCCATAAACATGGCATTTCTTTTCATATTTATGCTGATGACACACAAATATACTTGCCCGTCAGATCCACAGACCCTGGAATGCTGAGTTCACTTAACAACTGCCTTTGTGAAGTTAAAACATGGATGTCAAATAATTTCCTCCAGCTGAACTCAGACAAAACAGAAATCCTGGTCATCGGGTCTCAGCAGATGGCAAATCAAATACTGCCATCTGCTGGTTCCCTAGTAAATCACATTAAGCCTGTGGCAAAGAACCTTGGTGTTTGGTTTGATAGTAATTTAAATTTCGAGCAGCACACCACAAAGCTTGTTCAATCATGTTTTTATCAACTTAGAAATATAGCTAAAATTCGATCTATGTTAACTTTTAAGGACACCGAGACCATTTTACACGCCTTCATCTCATCACGCCTGAATTATTGCAACAGCCTTTTCACCTGTTTAACCCAAAAATCTATTGATCGACTCCAGACTGTCCAGAACTCAGCTGCCAGGCTTTTAACCAGAACAAAGAAATATGACCACATTACTCCTGTTTTAGCTTCATTACACTGGCTCCCAGTATGTTTTAGAATTGACTTTAAAATTCTATTGATCACTTTTAAAGCTCTTCATGGCCTCTCGCCTTGTTATATTTCTGACCTTTTAGTCCCATACGCACCAGCACGTACCTTGAGATCCTCGGGCAGAGGTCTGTTGTCTGTTCCAGAGTCTCGACTGAAAACTAAAGGGGACAGAGCGTTTGCTGTCAGGGCCCCGAGGCTCTGGAACAGCCTGCCCGAGGAAATCAGGTCGGCTGAGTCAGTGAACTCTTTTAAGTCCCTTCTTAAAACATACTTTTATAGGAGAGCCTTTCCCGATCTTATTTGACTTTATTTTATCCCTTTTATTTTATTGTATTTTACTAATTTTATTTTAAATTTTCATGCTCTTATCTTTTTTACACTTGTTAAAGCACTTTGTAACTTGTTTTTGAAAAGTGCTCTACAAATAAGGATTATTATTATTATTATTAAGTATTGAGTCTAAACAAGCAAAGGTTTCACATCTTGTTACATTTGTTGATCAGTTGATCAGTCACAGTGATGCTCTGAAATTTAAGAATGTGTTTTTATTTGTTAAAAATGTGGGTCAATGACGTGACGCCTAAATTTTCTGTTCGACTGCATTTTTTCAGGCAAAAATGGGTTTAAATGCCTAAAAGGATACTGCATATTTGTAGTACCTCTCCCATGTATGTACTCACTTTAACTTTTCAAAAACCTTTACTTATTTGTTATTTTTTTGTTATTTAAAGTGTCAAAACATCATGTGGTGCGTAGGTTCGGCCATAACTTCTGTTTTGAAAACATCTTTGATATTGATTATTATTGAGTGACTCCAACACGGCACCGTAGCTTCAGTCCTGCGTTAGCTTCTGGCTAACCTCCATCAGCGAGTCCTGCCCTGTCTTGCTCACAATTCACAACCGATTCCACCTTTAACGACAGGACTTCACTGCACCCTGTCTCTGCCCCGCTGTCATGTCCGTGGTGACGTTATTAGGTTATGCCAACTGCTAATAGTAATATTATGTCGCTAACGTTAGCTACATGGCAGCTAAACGAGGTAGCAAACATCACGATATACTGTAACGCCAAAACTCACCATGAAAACCATGCCTAGCTTACCTGTTGCATGAAGAGGTCGGTATTTGTAAAAATATTCAGATTTCCAACCACTCCGTCTTCTTCTGTCTTCAATCTTCTATCCTTGAAGTCTTCTTCTTCATCTACTTCTTCTTCTTGTGCAATTTCCGCAGTTTTCCTTACATTCGCGGCTGATTGTACAGTGCAGTAATTTCATTGGCCAAAGGTTTCAGATTCCCGCGGTGTGTATTCGATTTCGCGGGAAGTGTATATCCTGACTTCCGGTACAAAAAGGCTGGACGATACACACCTTCACACACTTACCCACTTTTTGCTACCTTACGGGCCACTTTTTAGAAATGGAAAAAAAGCAATGGTAGCATCAGGGGAAGCTGCTGAGCTAATTTTAATTGAAATCGGAGTGGGGCCCACCATTTTGGGCCCCACTCCGATTTTGGAACTCCTTAGGTGGATGTGCTCCCACCGATGGGAACCCACACCGACGCAAATGTTAGTACACACACACACACACACACACAGACACACACACACGTGTGTAGATGCTCTATCGATCATAAAACGTGTTTATTCGTTATGAAGAACGTGTTTGTGACTTGACTCAAACGCTTCATTGTCAGACGTGTTTCTGGCGTTTTGAATGTTTGGTGTTGAAGGAGATTTGAGGCATTTTGTGTGTAGAGTTTTGAAAAAGAGACTAAAGCTGACCTCTGACCTCTGGTCACGGCTCGTGCTGTCAGACGTCAGTGTCGACGGGCTGAGCGCGAAGGGAAAAGGATAAACTGCACGTGTCTTTTCAAACGTGGCGTCATTATCAGACGGCGAGGAAAGAAGAAATATTTCTCTGGAAAGCTTCTCGTGTTTCCTTTTCTGTTCTTAATGTCCCGCAGACTGTCTGCTGATGCCTCCTCTGCTCTTTGTGAAAAGTTTCTAAAGGTCTATTAAGAAGAGTCAGAAAAGAAGTCTGTAATGAGCTACGTTCCCACGGGAACTAGCTTCAGTATCAATCACCACACAGTCAAACACAGGCCTGTAATAGCACGGCAGCTAAAGCTAAAACAATAAAATGTAACATTTCCATCACAACATCTAGGAAATAAAAAATGTTCTACCCGCCAGTGTGGCGTGTAGTCTCAGTAATTTACTCCACCAGACAGGCTTTACCCTCATTTGGGGGCGAGTGCTAATTCTGGACCTTGTCTAGGCCCAGTGTGCGTTACAGATTAACTGTCGTGATCAAAATGTTAGAAGGTTGTTCAGAGCATGCGCAATTAGAAGCATGCATCTGGTAATTAGCATTAATTCATAGCAGCCCGTCTTGTGCCAACGTTACACTTCACCTTTCTTCCAGTCTTAGTTTGAACTTCAGCGAACATCTTGCCACGTGATTGGCTGATTAGATAAATAAAGAAGTGGTAAGTAGCTTAACTAAATTCTCATTCTGTAAATTTACTGACTGCATCCTTCTGTGATTGCTGTCAGAGACATTAATCTCATCAGTCAGTCACACGAGTGTAGAGCTTCTGATCCAAAGTGAGTTTGTGCCGCTGGGAATGTACCGAGCTGGATCTGCGAGCTGTTTTTGGTTTGTTTTCGTTTTGGTTTATTTTAAACCAATTCCGTTTAGGTGTTATCAGTTGGCCTTTAGGGGGAAACATCAAAGAGGGAGTCACCGAGCCGTGGCTGCCGCTGCACCCATCGCTGAGCTCTTCATAGCAGAAAGACGGCTGCCTGTCAGATCTACTGAAGTTAAGCAGATTAACACAGTGGGACCAGAAAATGAGAGTTAGTTCCACTTCAGTTAAGATCAGCTCTAACAGCACAATTGGACCTTTAAAGGGAACAAAGGTGAATTTCAGTCATTTGCGTCTGTTCGTAAATCGCTTGTCTTTATTTTTGTACACAATTAGAGAGACATTACAAAAAGACTTTATAGTAAGTGAGTTTATAGAACGCTGTAAAATCATGAGGTAGTGATGCTGCGGACGTTAGGTTTCACCATGCAACACTACACTATACATGACCTCCAAATGCACGTGAAGGTGCTGAACACCACCATGACAATTACAGCCACAAAAGATGTTAAAGCGTTGATGTTATCGTATTTACCACGAGCAGACAGTGAACTACAGATCGTTACTTGAATGTGTTGTGAAAGTGTTAGTGATTCATTAGAGATGCTGCTAAAAGACTGTAGATGTAAAATATAATATTCAAAATGAAAAATACTTTAAGAGACGCTGCTGATCAGCTACAAACATGCAGTTCGGTCTCTGTAGATATAATATAGATTAACATAATGTACATAATAATAATCATAATAATAATAATAATAATAATAATAATAATAATCCTTATTTGTATAGCACTTTTCAAAAACAAGTTACAAAGTGCTTTAACAAGTGTAAAGAATAATACAAAAAAACAAGATAAGGGCATGAAAAATAGTAAAATACAATGAAATAAAAGGGATATAATAAAGTCAAATAAGATCGGGAAAAGCTCTCCTATAAAAGTATGTTTTAAGAAGGGACTTAAAAGAGTTCACTGACTCAGCCGACCTGATTTCCTCGGGCAGGCTGTTCCAGAGCCTCGGGGCCCTGACAGCAAACGCTCTGTCCCCTTTAGTTTTCAGTCGAGACTCTGGAACAGACAACAGACCTCTGCCCGAGGATCTCAAGGTACGTGCTGGTGCGTATGGGACTAAAAGTTCAGAAATATAACAAGGCGAGAGGCCATGAAGAGCTTTAAAAGTGATCAATAGAATTTTAAAGTCAATTCTAAAACATACTGGGAGCCAGTGTAATGAAGCTAAAATAGGAGTAATGTGGTCATATTTCTTTGTTCTGGTTAAAAGCCTGGCAGCTGAGTTCTGGACAGTCTGGAGTCGATCAATAGATTTTTGGGTTAAACAGGTGAAAAGGCTGTTGCAATAATCCAGGCGTGATGAGATGAAGGCCTGTAAAATGGTCTCGGTGTCCTTAAAAGTTAACATAGATCCAATTTTAGCTATATTTCTAAGTACATGCACAGATACATTCAGGGCACGCTACTGGGAAACTGCAAATGTGCTTTAAATGCTGCTTATGGGTTATAGATGGTTTGGTGAACATATTGAGATCTGGAAGTGAATCCTGAGATCAGAGAAGAAACGTGTCCCAGAGCCTCCTGCTGCTGGATCTGTAGATCTGGAGGCATCGAGGGCCGCTGACGCTAATTTGGTGCAGTTTGGAGAGAAATACAGAAACACAGAGATCAGAGTCGAGCAGACAAAGTCCAACGTTAAAAATCAGAGGCTGTTCTGACTCCAGCTTCATCTGGTTAGACAGACATGAACTTTCTGACTTTCCTTTAGCGCCCCCTTGTGGTCGACATGGCTCATTTTCTGTAGAGAGAAAGATTTCCTCCTCCAGGACCTTGAAAACATTTGTTCCTTCGATGGTTTGGCAGCAGGAGCACATTTAGCTCAGATCTGACTAAAAACCAGCACGATTATACAAATGGGAGCAAAAACACCTTTTTGGAATTCATTTGGTGTATTTCAGAATAATTTAGCTTTGAAGGAATTTCCTTCATTTTTTATTCAGGTTTTATCTTCTTTCATAATCACGTTGAATCATTTAGTAATTAAGGAAGTCGCTTAATTTCTCTTTGCTTTGTACTTCACTTGAAATCTCCTCCTAACTAACCAAATAATGTGAATAGAAATATGAAGAGGTGTGTAGCAGGAGCCTTCAGAGATCAGAAAGATGAAGAAATGAATCTCAGCTGTGCAGGTGTGTGTTTGCTGGGAGAGATGAGATGATGGAGATCAATAAATGTCTCACTGTCATCTGCTGTGTTCAGAGACTTTAATAAACTATGAGACTGAATGAGCTGACTTCTCCTGTCTGGTTCCCAACATGCGCTGGTCCTCATGAAAACATCAGGTCCTAATCTAATAATTCCACTTTATGTTACGTGCAGATTAAGGGCAACTAGCGCCCCCTGGTGTTTACTGACTGCTGTCAGCTGACTGTCATCACATGGTCGGGGTCATAGTTCAGATCAGCCATTTTGCCATTAGTTTGGGGAAATAAGTTGCTTCAGGACAACTCAGTTTAATCTTCAGCTCCGGCTGTGTTGAACCCTGGAGAAGCTTTGACTGTGAGTTAAATGACGTCTTTTGTCTTTATAGAGAAGCATCGATGCAGATGTTGTTCAGAGACTTCACATCTTTTTGCCCTGTAGGGCAGCCAGCTCTTTAATTTCACTGTTTTTAGTCACATTAATAAGTGTGTTGTGTGTTTGCTCCGAGTTTCACAGAGCTGTTGGAAAACACTGTAAGAATGCAAGTTGATGAAGACAAACAAGTAAACAGCCCACCTGTCAGTCACCATGTGACCCTCTCAGTGTGGAAGATGAGCCACAAGCAGTGGACAGAAAACCACATGAAGATCACAGTATTTCATAAAGAACATTATGAGACGAGCCAGCTGCACTGAAACTGAGCACAATGAAACTGGACATACTGAGTAGATACTGCTCTGAGGTCAGCTGGACTGTCCTTGATCCAGTACGGAGAAATCTGATTGGTTGAGGGAGTAAACATGGTGGAGCAGCTGCTGTTAAACACTTTGTTCTGATCCTGGATCAGATCTTAGTTCCTGCCATATATCTGAAACAGAAACTCTCCCAACGTGTTTGGAAACGACTCACCTGCTGAGAAGTCAAATGTATTCTTGGGGCCACAGCAGGCGGTGCTCAGTCCTTTTTAAAACAGCTGGTAAAGATGTGGGTTATTCGTGTTGGCGGTTCACCCAATCAGAGGTCACTAAAATGACTGATTAGCTCAGCAGATCTCCGCTGTCATCTCAGGTTTGGTGAATCTCATGTGATTTGGTGGTTGAGCTGCATTTAAATCAGAAACTCAATGTGTTAAACTGTAAATGAATGTATCACACTGATGTCAGCATAGATAGGAATTATACTTGCACGGATAGAAACACTTGATCCCTACAAGCTTTGGACTGTTGATCACAGTTAAAAGGATCAGACAGCTGAGAGAAGACGTTGTTGTCAGGATCCCTGCAGGTTTTAGGTGCTGTGCAGTATGGCAGGATCTGTGTTACAGTTTGCCGTCCTGTCTAAAAACTTTAAACCCCTGTTGTCTCCACTGCTTCGGTAGTTCCTGCACTCTGCTTTTGTACGGCAGAATAGATGAATGTGTGAAGTGGCTGATACTGTGAATTATGAGCACGGAAGTTTATTCTTGACCGTGAGATGCAGATACACTTCTGACCTCGAGCCTGTCGAGTTTAAATGAAAGCTGATGTGTACAGTTGAATTGTTTCCTACATTTGAACGGTAGTTTTGAATTAACAGTGACAGTCCAACCTACCGGCTCCCCATCAGTCCGGTGGGTCTCTGCTATGATCCATCTTGGACACATGGTGGCGATGCTGGACTGTTTCTCCTCTACTGGGCTGACGGGGGAGTGCTGACAGCAGAGTTAGTGTCGGCCCACTGCTTTCCGCCTTCGCTCTCTCTGCAGGTCACTTTGCAACATTTCAGTAATTCAACTTTCCATGAGATTAATCAGCTGTTGAATCATCTCTGCCTGTGGGAACGTGGAAACAGCAGAGCAGGTTCTTTACATGAGAAACGCTTGTTTACTGGAGTTCCTGAGATGAGTCAACCTGAACAAACCTGCGCCAGTGAAGAGGAAATGACATCACACCTACTGCAGGATGTTTGTGTAGTCGCTGGAGAGGAGGTCATGTGACTCAGGGCTGTTTAGAAATACAGTACCTGAAGTTGCGCGACGTCCTCCAGAATCAGTCCTGAACGTACAGGCTGGAGTTTTAGACTCGCTTCCTGCCTGTCCGTCCTGAGTTAAAGGCTCGTGTGCAGCCCAGCTGCAGCTCGCTCACGTTGAGCACCTCAGCGTTCAGACCTCTCACAGAAAATGACTTTATAAAACTCAGCTTCTTCAGGAACCTCCTGCACTTGGTGGTGATTTATTGTGGCTCAGCAGTTTTACTGCCTCTTTGTTTTTAGTACTTAATTTATGATAAATGAAGTAGTGTGGGGCAGTAATGTTGGTACGTGTCTCTGTGGATCTCACCTCAGCTGTATGGGTGCGAGTCAAAGTCACAGCAATGCAGAGCAAATTCATTCCTGCAGTTTGACCACGTCTATCAATACATTTACATACTGCGCCAACACAGCAGAACGGGCCTGACTAACACCTGCGCTGTAGAGACAGATAAATCTACATAAAGCAACATGACCGACAGCTGCAGGCCGCTCCACTCTCGTTACTGAGGGAGCTTCAGGTGACAGTGATGTACTGATACCAATAATTTTTACACATTTTATTTCTAGTTTAATGTGACCTCCCGTTTCTGTATTTCTGAGAGAAATAAGGAGCAGGCTGTAGCCTTAACAATTCAAAATAACATCCGCATAATGACAAGACATCAAACTACCGTTATCTTCTTTAATTATAATGAAAATCTCCTGCTCAGAACTGCCGCTTCATAAAATCAGCATGTTATTTTGACTTAATCTCAGATGTTTAGCGAAGTTTGCAGTGTTGCCAAAGTGTTTCACTGTCTTTGCACACACATCACACAGAGCAGCATTATTACCTTCACAGCTAAAACACAGCCAGACGGGACTGTTTCTACAGCCGGTCAGAGTCAGGATTTAATCACAGGAAATGTAAAGAGCTGCAGCTGCTCACTTCAAAGAAGCTCCGTCACAGCACAAACATGACTTTGTCAGGCGGAAGGAAAAGTAGTTCCTATCAACCGAGTTTAATTAGACCATCCTGGTGACAGTAAGATACTTATGATAAAACACACACTCACGCCAAATGACAAGTTTAGATATCGATCCTTTTATATGAGCATCGATCCTGGAGCAGGAAACGCTGGTATCAGAAATATCGATACTTTAGGGTCGACCCGCACATCACTACGGAATAAGGCTTGAACTTATTTTCTCTTGTCTGTCACTATAATAAGAAAGGTCCCTGAAACATGGCGAAACATACAGTCTGAAGGCAGGTCAGGTCACAGGGTCGGGAGGGTTACTTAAAAATGTAATCCGTAACGTAATCAAAGTACCACAATATAAAGTAATGGAACCTGGTTACTGTGTAGTTACTTTTGGATTACTTCCGAACGCCAGTAAAGACAAGAGAGAATCAAAGATGTTGCTCAGTGTATTGTGAAACATCCAATAACAAAATGTCCCGTTCCCATGAAATCAAAATGGATGTAAAATGTTTTTATCTGATATGCTTTGCACTAAAGGTCACCAGTACAGCAGAAGCCCATCGGTCACAAACAGGCTGTTTTCTAAGTATTCTTGATGATATTTTAAAGTCATTTCCTGGAAAACATTTATGAATTTTTATTAAAAATCTAACGATTCCTGAACAGAAACACTGATTTTGTTGAAATGGCATCATCATATTTGATGATGCCATTTCTCTGCCCGCACAGCTAACTCGGAGCACTGGGAAAGTGTTAGTCTGAGACTGCTGGAGGTTTTCAGCAGGAAATGATGGAGCTCAGCAGCATGAACAAGACTGAGCAGGACTGTAATCTGTTACTCCCCAACCCTGTTAGTCCGTTAGGGTCCCAGTAAAGCTTGTCTAATTTTTAAAGCATCGGTTTATTGATTTAACGCGCACGAAACAAGGAGGTATGAACATAGCTGTTGCTTGCCATCCCCTGCAGCTGGCTCGTCACTAGCATTTCAATCACATCGCGGTTCATTTTATTCCTTTTTAATAAAATTGAAGTGGGCAACAATCACAGTTAAATGTTGGCGATAATGATCCACCTGGTTACAATACAGCAGTAGTTGTTTAAATCTGACTCAGGTTCACCTTAGGTCATATCCGAGGTATCTGGCATCCTCCACATAGTATTTTAGGTTTGGTCTGGGACAGAGGACGTCTCTTACTTAGATATGTACCTGCAGCTGATCACGCTGAGCAAAACCCGACACAGCCGCAGATCCACCACATCAGCTGTTAGCTGTAGGAAGAGATGCACCCATTTATTTTTCCAGTTCCAGATTATTTAAAGGTCTGACCTGCAGATTCGGATCCTTTCTACTATAGAAAGTAAAGTATACTTTTACTTTGTAGTTTCTTTATTTATTACGATCCCGTCAGCACCAACACAAAGGCTGGATATTCTCACTGGGGTCCGTTCAGCTGTATGATCAGAATGAAACGGTCATTATTAGATAACGTTGACATTTTCACTGCAGCTACAAACACAATCCAGGCCAGAACTCATTACCCTGTTTCTAGTATCTGGTTTCTGGTCTCTCCACCTTATTTTAGTGTTTCCTCACAGACTGCAGGGATCCGCTGTTTCCTAGAGACAGCTCCCGTTTGGTGCTTTGCACAGCAGCAGGTCAGCTCCGTGTGGAGGAGGCTCGTTGTTAATTAGACCGCCGTGGCGTGATGACATCAGCACCAGCAGCTGTGTTCGCTGTGTCTTTACTTTAAAATATGCACGTGTCTCTAACTTCATCCAAGAGCGCGTCTCTTTCTTACATAACTTCCACACCTGAGACGTGTTTTAACACGTGCGAGTGAGTGCAGCTGTGACATGAGGCTACCGTCTGTTCCCAGCATGCACCGTGTGCGTAACATTCGATGTGACGCTGCTCAGCCCCGGTCGCTGGCTAAGCTGGAAACTGGTCTGTTCCGGTCCCCCGGCGATCGATCGGCACATCTCTAGCTGTATCCAACAAGCCATTAGACAAAGCTTCCTAACGAGCCAGGTATTTTGTCCTGACTCAGCATCAACTGTATTAAAGAGAAAGAAAATGTTCTCACTGAATAAAACAGCCCTGCAGCCTCAGGCCCGTCCACACTACTCCATTTTAGTTTGGAAACAACTGAAAACACACAGCCAGTGGGCGTTCAGGTGTAAACATGAAGCAGATGGTCTGTTCCATAGTTACAGAAGATTTGGTGAAAGAATAAATAGATACAGACCAAGAAGGTTTATTTTCATGCACCAATAACGAGCTGGGACTGGATGTAACACGGGAGTGTGGCGGCTAAAACCAGACTGGGAGTCGTCACAAAGGAAACGGCGGCGTCCAGGCAGATGAGTGTTATTTGCACTGTACAGAATATTTTAATAAAAATACCAACTCAGAACCTCTGTCAGCAGCATCGTGTTTCTGCTTCGCATGACTTATAAGACCCAATCAGAGAGCCGAGCAGCTGCGATCCTCCGTTTTGGCTCGGCTTCACTAAAACGCCCTCCGGAGTTTTGAAACGCAAAACGGGGTCGTCAGTGTTTCCAAACTTCTCTGTTTTAGGTCTTTGTTTTCGCCGTTTTAGTCTGGACGGGAGGTGCTAACGTAGCGAAAGGTCTCCGTTTTAATTAGAAAACAGCAGTGTGGGCGGGGCTTACAGGAGTCCCAACGCCACTGAGGCTTCAGACTTGTGTGTGTCGGGGGGGAGCAGGCAGAGGACCAGACCACTGTGTTCAAAATGTTTCTAAACTTAAAACCCACTTTTCTTTCCGCCTGGCTCCTGTGTTTGTTTGACCCACCATGAACACCTCCCTGCAGACTTTCTCACACTTCATATTAGGTCACCTGACTGAAGTCTGTCTGACAGCGTCTGTACTGAATGTCAGAACAAGCTGTAACTACGGTCCGCTGGACAGAGGGTTATTTCATTTTAAACAGAAAGAGAGAGAGAAAAGTGAAAGTGTTGATCCTAGAGACAAGTCTTAGATTTCATTTATTTTAAAGCTTTGGTTTGTTATTCATTACATGGTATCAGGGTAACAGGATGTTCCACGTCACTGTCCAGACCGGCCTGAGCCCCTTTGAGAAAGTGGTCTTTGAACAAGACGGCAGAAGAAACAGCCGTACTCCTGCTGCTTTTCATTCCACGCTGTGTTTTATCAGCCAGACAGAATTAAGTTTTGAAAAGGATAAATGAACAGCACAGAAAACAGGACAGAGAACCAGACTTTAGAGTCACAGAGCGGCGACGTGAGCTGGATTCAGCTCATCGCTGATCTGCAGCTACACACCACTTATCCCACCATTTGTGGGCAACCATTTACCCAGAGCAGTGTTGATAGTTTTAATATTTAGCACTTTACATCTCATCACCTTGTGGCTGATCGGACGTTTGTTCAGCAATGCTGTGAAAGTTCAGGCCCCCGTTTGATGTCAGCGACTGGAAGTTATTGGGCGGAGCACTTTGGACCCAGTTTCCAGCGTCCTTTAGTTCCTGATCAAAACTATCTGGAACGTCATGTTGGAATGGGAACGCTCTGATGTCCTGCAGGCTGCAGTACAGGTCTTGACAGTGTTTCACTGAGCTCTGTACCTATTTTACTGAACTCGCTCACAGATAAACGTCTGAGCATTTTTCTCTCCGCTCTCCGGGGGGGTAAACATTAAATTACTCAAGCTCATTTTTTGAAGAGGACACAAATAATCCAGCCAAAATTGTCCTTGTATAGGATACGTACACACAGAGAGAAGTCTTTTGTTTTTCTGGCCGACAACACAAAGCAATAGTTTAGTAGTTTAAATCTGACTCAAACTCATAGTCATATTATCCTAAATAACTTAGTAGTAGTTTAGGTTTCTTCTGGGACAGAGGACGTCTCTTACTTATGTTTATGTATAAATGTGTGTATATTGGATATTTAATGGCAGCAGGAAGTATAAGCACCATCAGCACCAGTATAAATGTTGGCTGTTCTCACCGGGGTCCGAAAGCATTTCTTTTTAAAGCAGGGCAAGCTAGAGGCAGAGGCGTTGATGATGAATATTATGTTGGAACATTTTGTACGATTCATTTTTATTGACTTTTCTTCAGCTTTTAATTGTATCCAACCCCATATTTCAGCAGGCAGACTTAAGACTATCCACAATATTGATCCTGGTTTGATTAGTTGGTTGATGGATTGTGTGTGTGTGTGTGTGTGTGTGTGTGTGTGTGTGTTAATGTGGTTGATTTATTTATTGGAGTTTGACATTTTCGTCACACACTGACAAGATTTGGTTCCCAATCTGTCCTATAAATAATGGAGAGAGCTTCTCAGTAAGAGGTCCTTTACTTCAGTAACA